TCACAAGAGTCCACAATGAAGGTTGCATAGTGGAATGTACTTGGGGCGGTGGGAGGGGTGCAGGGGGATTGTGTACCAGGGAGGGAGTCTTTTAGTTTTGAAAGAGAGGAGCAAACTGGGGTGCGGGGGGAGAGGGCTGGGCGGGTAGAGAAGTGCAGCAATGAATGAATGGAAATCCCAATTCTCTGTAAATGTTCATTAAAATTATTAACAAAAACCCCACTATTTTATTTTTATTTACATAAAAATGTACAGAGGGGGAAAAAAGTGTTTGTTACTTAAACTGGTTTAGTAATATACAAACTGGTGAAAGCTAAGACTAGAAAGCTAGGTATTCATGTTAAGGATTTTGAATTGTATTTTAAAAAATAATAGAGCACTTTGAATATGTTACCTCTGTGGCAGTGAAGTTCTGCAGACATGTTTTACAAAGAGCTGGATGTGTCATGTGGAATCTGTTTCTTTTGAGATCAGGAAGATCTGTTAGGACGTGTCAAGGTGACCTCAATCAGGGTAGTGACAGTGGGACTAGAGAGGCATAAAACTATTGAAGAATTGCATTCCAATCACCACTTATTATTAACTCCAATTCCAAAACGTTATGACAAGAAACAAATAGAGAACTGGAGAAATGGAAGAATATACCTTGCTAATGGACAGGAAGCCTCAATATTGTGAAAATGACAATACTACCAAAGGCAATTTATAGATATATGTTCAATGCAATATTATGTTTGGTCAATTTGGACTGCAAAATTTGATGAACATCTTGTTTCTTCCTCTTTGGGTTTAGCTGTAGGAATGTATATTTGAATAATAGTTGTATTAACAAGTCTTCCTTATATACCATGGATAATATCCTGTCACTTACAACATTGTCCTTTAAGGATAGACCTTAACATTGTCTTTTTTTTAAACTAGTACAATTTCATTCTTACTGTTTTTTATTCCTAGCATTGTATACCATGTGGTTATCCGATGCAAAGTGGCCAAACCAGTCCATCTCATGTCACTAATGCCTAGAATGTGGCTGTTCATATGTTCCAATCCTTTTCCCCCCCACATCTTCCAGTTTTCTGACATTCATACTCTGTATAGTTATTCAAGGATGTTTGCAGTTGTTTTCCTCATTTTCATTGACTGCCAGTCTGGGCTATACCTCTCAGTTCCATTTCACTGTTGTTCATCGAGTTTTCAGAGGTCTGTTATTTCAGAAGTGGATGGCCAATCTTCCTTCCTAGTCTGTCTACCATGGAGCTCTACTAAAACCTGTCCACCCTGGCATTTGACATCCTGGTGGCACAGCTTTCAACCCACAGGTAGTGTCAGAGATTGTGAGGATGGGCTGAGATAGGACAGTATTATTGGTTATACTTAGGATCACTGTGAGTCATACTGGACTCGAAGGCACCTAACAACAACAGCATTGGAGAACTGACTGATAGACACAAGTAAACCTGATGAAGAATTGGAATCAAGTGAGAGAATGAGTTAGGAATGAATCATGCATCTTAACCACTTATGATATCTATCTAAGAAAGGGAATAAATAATAGACATAGACTGGAAATATCAAGTTGAAATATGAAATTGCTGATATTTTTATGTTTGACTTATGGAAAGAAAGACATTCTCAAATAGTTCAATCTAATGGCTGCTCTCCAGGAGAGGAGACTACACTAACAAAACAAACAGGACCACTTAGTTGACAACTATGCGTTGTGAAAAAAGATATTTAGTTTTATATGATTTGCACTAAGCATTGAGATGTTAGGGCTATAGAATATAGACAGTAGGGTTGATTCTGAAAAGTAGACAATTTAAAAAGAAAAATAAACCATGATGTTTGTTGAGAACCTTTACTAGAGAGTGAGCATACTGCCAAAAGAGCAAACAGATAAGTCTTGGGGAAAGTGCAGCGAGAGTGCTCCTTGGAGGCAAGGATGGCGCAACTTCATCTCCCATATTTTGGACATGTGGCTAGGAGAGGCTATTCTTTGGGAAGGTCGAAAAGAAGACCCTGAAAAAGATGGATTGACACAGTTTCTGCAGTGGTGGGCTCAAGTGTGTCAGAAATGATGAGAGTGGCACAGGATAGGTCAGTTGTGTTGTCCCTAGGGCCACTATGAGTCATACTCATACCCAACATTTGTGTTGGTGGTGTTGTGTGCCATTGAGGCTGATACTCTGGTGGGTTTTCAGAGGCATTTAATCCCATGGGAGGATATTGCCCATCCTTCTCCCGTGAGTCAACTAGTGGATTTGAACAGCATGCCTTTGGTATTGCAGCACAACTTCTTGCCGCTAGGCTATCAGTACTTCCTAGCTACAACAGTTGTACTGTATATTGCTTACCTCTCATCTTGCTACAAACTATAAGCATAGCATATTTATGCAAATGAATGGCTGATTAGCAAATAGTTGTAGAAGTCCATGTTATTTATGTAAAAATACAAGTGATTTAATGAACCAAGGAATCTAAAATGTTAAGGAAGGAAGTAGAGTGTCATAAGGAGAATTTATAAAGTCCGGGAGACCAAATAGCTTTCCCTCTAAGATAAAAGTGTCGTTTTCTACTGAGTGATAGAGCTGGAAAGGCAGGAAACCATGATGTGAGGATGGATCTATACATTTACTATTAGGGAGCTCTGGTGGCCTAGTGGCAGGAAGCTGTGCTGCAATCCCAAAGGCGTGCTGTTCAATTCGAATCCACCAGATGCTCCACTGGGGAAGGAAGGGCAATCTCCTTCTGTGCCAGTCGGATGTGATTCGACAGTACACAACAAGAAAAGAAAACAACAAAAAAGTATATAATTTCTCTTGCATAAGTTTAACAATTCCAGGTCAGTCAGTATTCAGAGTAGCCATGGAATTGGGTGATTGAAGAGGAGTAACAGTGAAAGAATGAAATGTTTCCGTTATCTCTCTGGACATGAGTTCTCTCACTGTGATGGCAGAGCTTAGAGTGGAAAGGAAAATTACGAGGTAGATGTTTAAAACTTCCGGCATTGAGGATAAGTTCTTTGACAAATTCTTTAAATGTTGGCATTAAGGGAAACATTATGATAATTCATTTACCTTGTGAATATTCCCCAAAATAAGTAAACTCCTTTTATAGAATAGTAGTACTCTGTCAGATAGTAGTATTAAGGAAAGTGAAATCAGTCCATGATCATCATCACTAAATAATTTTTAGTACAGTGAAATCTTATTACTTATATTTAAAGCCTTATTATTTTGTTGACTGAAGGAAAAAACAATTCCTTTTTTTTCCCTCCCCAGATGTCAACGAGTTTCAAGATGTTTCTTGATAATTGGAATATTCAGACAGCTCTTTGGCTCAAAAGGTATGTTCCTTCAGGAACAATCTTTGTAGATATATTTTGGTATCATCTCCTACTTGAGATTGGGCTCCACTAAATTCATGCTGTTGTTTAAGTTAAATATTGAGCGACATTGTGACTTTTAGTTTAACAAAGAAGTACTAACATCTTCCAAATCAAGATATTATTAAATCAGAGCACTGCTTCAATTTGAGGCATGTGACTGATGAACATCGATATCACTGACCTCTTAGTGAACCTTAAAAGGCCTCTGCCTCTGTATGAGGCCACCAGTATTCTTACCTTTACCTCCTACCATCATCCATTGGTGATTTGTTTTTAAAAAGACCTATAAAACTACTATGCATATATCCTACTTAGATTTTTCCAGGAAGATTTTACTTTAAAATATTTTATCTTAAAATATCTTCATGTGTTCACATGTTATTGTGTACTGTCAAGTAGGAACTAACTCATAGCTGGCCCTCCAGCAGGTTTTCTGAGGCAGTAATTTCCATGGGAGATTGCCCATCCTTCTCCCACCAAGCAGCTGGTGGATTTGAATTGAGTACCTTTGGGATTGCAGTGCAGCTCTTATCACTAGGCCACAGTCGGATAAAAAAACATAGAAAAGACACAGTACCTACCATCAAAGACTTCACAATCTTGTTAAAAACACAGATTTGCTACTCTGTGCTAGTTGCTGTTGTGAGGATTATAATAGAGGGCAAGAGAACAGAATTCGGGCACAAAGGGAAGAGAGGAGAAACTTCTCAGCAGTTGATGCTTGAATTGAGATTGAGAACTGAAAGATTATCAGATGGTCAAAGAGTAGGGAAAGGCAGCCCAGGCAGAAGCAGCAACATTTACCAAAGAGGGAGTTAAAGAGAAGAATTGCATAGAAACTATCAGTGATTGTAGTTTTCTCATTATTCTGATAGTGTATTTCCCTGTGCTGAACATATCTTTTTAATGAAATACTGTTCTTGTAACAGTAGGGCTTTAGGGACTTCTTAGTAAAGTAACTTTGTTTTGTAGTGCTTAAGGGTAAAATTGAATACTTTACCTTTAAAATACCCAGAGTATATTAGCAGTCCCTGGATTGCAAATATCCAATTATAATAAGATACATACAGTGGTTCATAATAAAACACACAGGCTTTACTTTGCCACCCATGTCAAAATTTTTATTATTGTATTATTATGTTAAAGATGTTTTTATATATCTGGAAGTATTTTTTATGCTTTTATACAAAGAAAGGCATATACTAAGACAAGCATTTGACTATCTGATATACACTTAGTAGTAAGAAAGGAAATTGTTTTCCTAAATTTATGATGCTTCACAGTTATAATCTTTCTGAGGGTCACAAATCAGGTTATTGCCTAAGGTAAATTAATGTGTGTTCACTAAATTCTGTCACACAGTTAAAACAGAATGAACAATTGAATAGCAAAATGATAATTGTACAACATGGTGAATGTACTGTCAGTGGGTTACAAATGTGGAAACAGTGGAAGTGCAGATGGTTGGGGGTGTGTGTGTGTGCATGCGTGTGTGTGTGTGTGTGTGTGTGTTAATGTGTGTGTAGAGGGAGGGAGAGAGAAACATTTTTACCACTGTTTTTTTAAAAATCAGCATTGTGAGACTGTATAGCTCTAATCACTCCTCTTGCTCTCCATGTTTTTCTTGGTTTCTAGGGTGTGTTATGAGCGTGCCTCCATCAGTCCAACTATCCAGACATTCTTTCTTTCTGCCCTTTGGCATGGGGTATACCCAGGATATTATCTAACATTTCTATCAGGGGTGTTAATGACATTAGCAGCACGAGCTGTAAGTATCAAGAATTTTATCTTATAATTCATCCAATGGTAGTTTACTTGTATTATTAGAGCTGACTAAATCTGTTTTACAAAGTAGGCCACAATTTTTGGGCCCCAATTAACATTGTACTCTACCCTAGAATAGATATTTATAACTATTTATGTGTACCTTAATATTTGCTATATGCTAAACTTCACACTTAATTATATGTTCCTGGTAAATAGCTGCATTCAAAAACTAATTGTCTTGATTAAATTTTTTTAGAAGATAACTTAGCATGTAGTTAATTTAAAATTATCAGAGGGTTAATGTTTTCTGGAAGCTGTAATTTTTAGTCATATTTTAGATGATGAGCTAAGTTGTAGTAGCCCAAGATAAGCAGGTCAGTACAATTGGTACAGTACTAAATTAAAGGCAAGCTATGGTTCTTTATTAGTATTGGTTTGGTTGGAACCTGGAATAATGTTTTGAAAATTACTTAAGAAATTAGATTATTAATGTTATGGGAAAATGAAAGGACAGTTTAATACAAGTCCTTGTAAGTCAGTGCGAGGAAGATAACAGAATGAAAACAGTGTTTGAACAAGCTTGTTACAACACTTCAGGTAAGGTGGATTAATTTAAGAAACTAGCAAATCACTGTATTTATTTTTTTAGTTTTCATGCAATCAAATACACTGTGTTTCATTTGTATAAATTGTACTTTATACAATGACTCATACATTGTGTTTTATATAAGTCTGCCTGTTAGCACCCCGTCTTTTCAAATCCCCATTCAATCTTTCCTCTTCATATACTCTTGACTCTAACCTCTGCTTTCCTACTGATCTTCCCCTTTCTCTTTTTTTTGCCTCCCCTTCTCCCTTCATCCTTCCCCTTTTGAACATTTGTGTGTGTGTGTGTGTGATAATCTTGCTCAGTTATTATCCTGTTTTCACAATAATGGTCTTATGCAGTATTTATCCTTTGTGACTGAGCTATTTCACTTGGTATCATGCTCTCTAGACTCTCCCATATTTAATTTTAGGTGGTTGTTCTTATGGGCCGTTGAGTCGCCTGTGACCCATAGAGACCCTATATACAAAAGCTCTGAAGCCTGGCTTGTCCTGAGATGGTCTCACTGACTCCAACACACCAACATTGGAGAAATATTAAGAAGTATTAAATAAGGGTTGACCTTCCGTTAATACTAGTGTTGAGTCATATATTATAAATTCCATACATTTTGTCAATAAGTATCATAGGTATTTAGAGCTAAAAGAAAATCCTTTTAGTTTACTAGAGATTACCTCCTTGGTTGCACCAAGGCTTTGACAAATGAAAGTTATTTCTGTAATGAGCAAAGTTTAATGGGAGACAAAATGAGATTCTGGGTGTAGGAATTGAAATTTGCAAAAGTAATTTTGGAAGTTCATATTGTACTTGGTGAGTGAGAAGTAGGTTTGAAACATAATTTATGTAAGTAAAATAGTAAATAATTCTGGAAAGACAAATGTTGGTGAGAGGCACAGTAGTAGAAGAGCACTTGGAAAGAGCTTAATCTTTATTTGGTTGAATCTATCAGGGAGTAGTAAAGAAACATTTTCAAACATAAGAATGAAGTGTTGAAATTCATGCTTCAGGAAGATTAATTTGTCACTTGTGGACACAGTGCCACAGAGAGTAGATGATTACTAAGGTAACAAGCAAAGCAGCAAATGGTAGGTGCCAGGATTCAGGACCTGTTCTTCTAGCATTTAACAAATGATGGTCTTAAAAGCCATCAGCTAGCATTATACATAAAGACTGAAGCCTTACCTATTAATATCAAAAACAAAAAGATCTGATTTTACCATTTATGGTCAATAATATGTTAGACATCCTAGCCAGAGAAATTTGACAAGAAAGAGAACGGAAAAGTATCCAGATTGGAAAAGAAGGTGTTAAATTATCTCTAAGTAGAAAGATGTCCATTCATGAAATGGAAGATTTAAGATTGTTGGGATGTCATTATTACCCAAACTGATAAATTCCAGTATCCTTCTTTACATAAATATAAAATTATTTCTCAGCTATATATGAGAAGATAAGAAGCCCCAACCACTCTAAAGGATTCTCTAAAAGGGTTCTGAATAGAATGGGAGATAACTATGAAACAAAACGGAAAATTTGCTTGGCATATAGGCCGGATAAAGACTAGTAGAGACCTTCACACTGAGTCTACCCCAGTGACAATTCAGGCCCACAGTAGATTGGCCTTGAAGTGGACATTAACAATGAGGAGGTACCAGCCTAGATCGAAAGGGCAGCATTTCCCACCAGAAGGCAGAGAGGGAGAGGCTGGAAGAACAAAGGCAAACAGGAACCACCAGGAAGAATTGGGAAGGAAATGGTTACAGTGTGCACACACTTTTTTCTGAAGAAAAAAAATGTTACTTACAGCAGAAGTGTGTTTGTTTCATCTTACAAACATGAAACTAAAAATTATAGGATGCAAAGGAAAAAAATAAAATAATTTTTGGTTAAATTAGTACCGATTAAAACTTGATATGACTACTTCGGAAGCTAAAAACTTTTGCTTTAAATTGTGGTTATGAGAGACACTTCTTTTGAGACACTCTTTCAGGCTGTTATTAATGAACAAATAGTGTGTGATATTTGACTTGAGCTCAGTTTTTATCTGTCTTTCACAAATGCAGAGATTAAAGCATGAATAACTCATATTAGTAAAAATAAAATAGAACATTTTTTGTATAATTTTCCAAATGTGGTTTAAGGAGTTGTTAATAAGTCTGTATCACTAATGCTGGCTCAAGAATTGGCAACAAACAAGGCTCCAGGAATTGATGGCATACCGATTGATATTCAACAAACAGATCCTGCCCAGGATGTGCTCACCAAGTTGTGCCAGGAAATCTGGAGAACAGCCACCTGGCCTTCTGACTGGAAGAGATCTATATTTGTTTCCATTCCAAAGAAAAGTGATCCAACAGAGAATAGAAATTAACAAACAGTATGATTGATATCACATGAAAGCAAGATTCTGCTGAAGATTATGCAAAGATGACTAGACCAGCACGTCAACAGAGAACTGCCTAAAGTGCAGGCTGAATTTAGAAGAGACAGTGGCACAAGATATACCGGATGTCAGCTATATCTTGGCCGAGAGTAGAGACTACCAGAGAATGTCTGTGTTTCATTGACTAAGCAAAAGCATTTGGCTGTGTGGATCATAACAAACTGTAGCAGATGCTGAAAAGAATGGGAATCCCAAAACACTTGACTGTGCTTATGTGAAACCTATACTTGACCAGGAGGCCATCGTCACAACAGAGCAAGGAAGCACGTCATGGTTCAATATTGGGAAGAGTGTGCATCAAGGGTGTGTCCTGTCTCCATATCTTTTCAATCTATATGCAGAACAAATTATCTGGGAGACTGGGTTCTATGAGGAGAAATGTGGCATCAGGATTGGAGGTAGAAGGTCAAGGACTGCAGCCTTCACTGTTGATTGAAGCTTAACATCAAGAAAACAAAGATTGTCACCACTAGGCCGATTGGCAGCATCATGATAAATGGTGAAGAGATAGATTGTTGACAGCTTCAGTTTGCTTGGCTCTGCAATCTACATTCTTGGTACCAGCAGCCAGGAAATTAAAAAATTAATTCCACTGGGGAAGTCTTCAGTTAGAGACCTCTCCAAAGTACTGAAGAGCAATGATGTCAGTCTGGAGACTAAGATGAGCCTGATACAGGCCATGGTCTTTGCAATTACTTGCTATGCATCAGAGAGCTGCACAATGACTAGGGATGATAGAAGGAGAATTGATGCCTTTGAGCTGTGGTGCTGGATAAGAGTGTTGAATATACCATGTACAGCTAGAAGAACAAACAAGTTCGTCCTGGAGAGAGTGAAGCCAGGCTGCTCCTTAGAGGCAAGGATTCTAAAGCTTTGTCTGACATACTTTGAACATGTTGCAAGGCAGGATCAGTTCTTGGAGAGAAACGTCATGCTTGGGAGGGTGGAGGGACAGCACAGGAGAGGAAAACCTTCAGGGATATGGACTGATTCAGTCACTGGGGTAATGACGATAGGTGTGTCTGAGACAATAAGATTGGCACAGGATAGAGCAGGGTTTAGGGCTCTTGTACATAGGGTCGCTATGAGTCAGAGGCAACTCAACGGCACATAACAACAAAGTAGAGACATTTATTTTCTCCAGTGTCAGATGGATCTTGGTGGAAAGGAAAGAATACCAGAGGAATCTCTATATGTGTTTCATTGACTATGCAAAGGTATTTGACTGTATGGACCACAATAAATTGTGACTAACCTTGAGGAGAGTGGGAATCCCAGAACACTGAATTGTGCTCATGCGAAACCTATACTCAGACCAGGAAGCAGTCCTCAGAACAGAACAAGGAAATACTGCATACTTCAAAAACAGGAAAAGAGTTCTTCAGGGATGTGTCCTGTCTTCATACCTTTTCAATCTATATGTGAAACAGATCATTCAAGAGGCTAGGCTTTATAAAGAGAAATGTGGCATCAGGTTTGGAAGAAGACTCATCCATAATATGCTGATGACACAACCTGAAACTGAGGAGAACCTAAAGTATTTGCTGAAGAGAGTCAAGGTCTGTTGTCTTCAGTATGGACTGAAGGTCAACATCAAGAAGACAAAGATTCTCACCACTGAGCCAGTTGGCAGCACTATGATAAATGGAGAAGAGATTGAGGTGGTTAACAATTTCAGCTTGTTTGGCTCTATGCTTAGCAGTCAGGAAATCAAAAGACCAGTTACATCAGGAAAATCTGCGATCAAGGACCTCTTCAGAGTACTGTTAAGCAAAGATTTCAGTGTAGAGAATAAGGTTCACCTGATTCAGGCCATGGTCTTCAGAATTATTGATGTATCAGAGCTGGACAGTGACTAAAGATGACAGAATAAGAATGTCTTTGAGTTGTGATGCTGGGGAAGTCTTGGACATACCCTGTACTGCCAAGAAGACAAACAGGTCTATTTTGGAGAGGTGAAACCTTTTTCTCCTTGGAGGCTAGGAATTTGAAGCTCCCTATCACATAATTTGGACACGTGGCCAGGAGAGACCCATCCTTGGAGAAGGACATCATGCTTGGAAGGTTGGAGGGACAGAGCAGGAGAGGAAGACCCCAGATAAGATGGATTTACACAGTGACCAGGGTAATGGGGGCAGGTGTGTTGGAGTCTGTGAGACTCTCTCACAACATGGCAGGGTTCAGAGCTGCTGTACATGGGGTCTCTATGAATCACAGGTGACTTGACAGCAAGTAACAGCAACAGAGTGCTCAGCTGCTGACAGAAAGGTCTGTATTTGAATCTTATCACTGATTCCATCGAGAGTAAAGACTTGACAGTCTTTTCCAGAAAAGTTTAAACCGAAACTAAACTCATTGTCATGTTAATTCTGAACTCATTGCAGTGCTTTAAAGCAGAAAACTTCCCTGTATGTTCTCCAAGGCTGTAATGTAATCTTATGAGGTTACAGTGCCACATCTTTCTCTTGAAGAGTGACTGGTAGGTTCAAACATTTAAATTAGTGGCTGAGAATGTTACCATTGTACCAGTGTCTAAAGAGGAGAAAACAGGCCATAGAGGCACAGGTCCATGAGGGTCTCTTTCAAAGGGCCAGAGGTAGTAAGAACAGCACAGTCCCTCACTGCCTCAGAGCAGAAAGCAGAAAAAGAGCTGTTTACCCATCCCCGTGGTACCTGTAGAGCCCCACCAACAGCAGGAGATTTTTTTAATTTGTTGCTGACTCACACACTCACAGTTATGGTACCAACAAATGGTTTTTTTAGGGAAGAAAGTTGAAGGGGGGAGGCAAAGAATATCACCCAAAACAAGTCCAGGTTTTAGTCCACCAGTTCCAAGGCACAATTCAGTCTAGGCTCCAGTTTCAATTCAGCAAGTAGCTTTTCCTTCCATCTTCAAAAACTGGAAAATCCACCTGGCCAGTACAAATGTAAGAAGCCTCAAGTCAGTTTCTCCACAGCAATGCCACAGTCTCTCTACCACCATGGTCTCACTCTCACCAGTCTTGCTGCCTCCAGCCTTATTATCCTCAAATTTTATCTCAAGTCTCTCACCTCAAGTCTTGCTGCTCAATATGGGAAGTACTCTCCCCTCTTATCCCAGTCCCACACCTGATGCTGATTTGCAAGACCATGCTGACCCACAAGACCATGTTTCTACAGTTAAGGTAGCTGGAGACGACAGATGGCTAAAGGCTACAAAATAAAGCCAACTATTAGGCCACCACATCCATTAAGGCACTTTTGTGCAAAAATACTTGACTTGCATTGTTATGACAAAATATGCCATTTAGAACCCACCAACCTATTGAATGGAGAAGAGGCCCAACATTCTTTTCCCAGAAGGCTTACAGGATAGGAAAAGCCTGTGGAGACGCTGGTTTCCAAGGTGGTAAGTCCTGAGGGGAGGACACTGCTCCTCTTTCTCCCTTTATGCAGCTAATAGATTTGAACTGCTGGATATATAGTGCAACATTCTACCAACTATGCTAGCTGTCCTAATTTGTGGTTACTCTAGTCAGAATCAACTCTATGGTCTACAACAAGGCACATGAGAGTCATTATGTGTTTATTCACAGGAATTGGTTTTTGTTGAGGAAGTGCTACTCTTAATCTATTTTTTAAAATAATGAAACATAAATTTAGATACAATTTTCCACCTATGGTAAAGTTATGAAGAATACCTATTCTCTTTATCCAGATTGACCACTTGTTTGTGTTTTCTTCAAGTGCCATATCATCCTCTATATATTTTTGTGCATATGTACATTGCTTATCTGAACCAAGGTTACTGTCAGTGTATGATACTTTGTTGTTCTGCTTCCTTAAAATAATTGCTGTAACTTGTCTAGTTTTATAAAATATATTAAATATAAAAAATTTTCTTATTTATTTCAGATAAGAAATAACATTAGACATTATTTCATCAAATCTCCTCAACTTAAATTTTTTTATGATGTTGTAACATGGATGGCAACACAAATAGCAATAAGTTACATAGTTGTGCCATTTGTACTTCTTTCTATAAAACCATCGTTCATGTTTTACAGGTAAGTGTTTACTTCTTCAAAGATGTCAGTGCAATAACTTTTTTAATTTATACTAGTTTATTTACAATATTTGAATACATTGTTTTTCAGACCAAATACTTCCCATTTCCCAACCACCCATCAAATTGTACAACCCCATGATTAATCCTTCCCCTCAAAACCATCCTCATCCCTCTGCTTCCACCCCATCCTTGGATCTTAATACTCATCACACAATAATGGTTTTATACAATATTGGAGGGATTGTAAAATGGTACAACCATTCTGGAAGGCAGTTTGGCACTTCCTCAGAAAGCTGAAAATAGCTATTCCATATGACCCAGCTCTTCCTCTGCTTGCAATATACCATGAAAAAATGAGAACTAAGGAGAAATGGAGACTTGTACACCAATATTCATAGCCCATTATTCACCATTTCAAGAACATGGTTACAGCTCATATGTTGTCCAACCACAAATGAATGGATTGAGAAATTATGGTACATTCACACAATGGAATACTACATAGCGTGCAGTTGCAAAGATTTTGTAAAATAGTACCTATCTTGGGAGGGACTGGAGAGCATTATGCTGAGTAAACTAGCTCAGTCCCACAAGGACAGATATTGTATAAAACCATTATTGGAATAACTATTTTTAAAAAACACAAACTCTCTTTGCCATTCAGTAATAAAGAGAAATAACAGTCTTATTTCCTACAGCTAAATGTACTATTTGTTCTGAGTTGGCAGATGGGTTTTTTAAAAAAAGGTATTGTGAGTTGACCGAAAGTTTACAGAGCAAACTGGTCTTGCACTCAATTACTTTTAAATCTTACATCAAGCCATCTCAAGTTTCTTCATGGAATGACTGATACTACCCAACCCTCAAAAGAGAGTCTGAATTAGAAATACAGCTAGTTAACTACTTTCTTAAATCACGTAAAAGTGTTTTACTAGAAAGTATAGCATAGCTTTATTGTCCTAAACGTATTATTTTTAAGAGACAGTTCATTATACAGGAAAAAGTTATGTAAATTTTTCTCTTTTACTTTCAGTCCTTTCGTTGTTCATTGGTACTTGGGTCACCTCTATATTATAAAAGTTGTTTGAACTCAGTTCTTTAATTTGTTTATCTATTCTTTCTGCCTCACCAAATAGTAATTACTTTGAATAAAGTCTTTATTACTGTAGCATCTAGAATGACTTTAACAGAAAGAAACTGTTGCACTAAATATGACTATAATCACACACTGATAGAATTTCCATTTTAATTGAGTTATTTTTTAATTTTTTAATTATGATTGAACTGTTGTGTGGGATTTTCCATTCTAGATTTATAGTCACTTGAACTCAGATCTATAGAAAACTGTTTAAGTAGTTTATATTTATTTTGAAGAATGATTCTTCTAAGTATGTTTTTAATACTTTGGCCTTTGTTTATATTTTCAGTAATTTCATTAGTGACTATGACTTAATTAGGGAGTTCAACAATGAACATCTTTCCTATCCCGGTGTACTATTATTTCTTTACTCAGTATTTCACTCTAGTTTTCCAGATCACTACACATACTTACTAAGTACCTTTTAAAATACTCCTACTTATTTTGGGTATTATGACCCTTACAAAAAAAACTAACATGAGATCTGCTGTCATGATTATAAGCAATTTGTCTCTATACTGGGAAGTCCCTGGGTGGCACAAATGGTTAGCACTGGGCTGGAACCCAGCGAGAGGTGCCTGAGAAGACGGTCCTGGTGGTCTGTAGCCATGAAAATTCCCTAGAGCACAGTTTTCTGTAGCAAATCGGGCTGACAGGAGCTAGAATTGAAGGTTATGGAATATTGCAATTTAATAACCTTTTCCCCTTTTTCTTTTAGCTCCTGGTATTTTTGCCTTCACATTGCTGCTATCTTAGTACTATTGTTGTTGCCTGTGAAAAAAACTCTTAAAAGAAAGAATACACATGAAAATATTCAGCTCTCACAATCGAAAAAAGATGATGAACAAGGAAATTCTTTGGGACATAATAGTTTTTCCACAACAAACAATGTTTGCAGTCAGAATCAAGAAATAACCTCCAGACATTCGTCACTAAAGCAATGATGGAAGAATGCCTGATGGCCATCTTTTCTAGGTTAACAGAAACCAATCTTAGCACCTTTCAAAGGGTTTGTGTTTGTTGGAAAAGAGATATAGTGGGGAGGGTGGGAAATTGGACATTTATATATATATCAGATTGGAAATGGAGTGAAATAACCCCTCCCATGCCATGTTTCTGTAGGCAACGCCTTATACAAAAGTATCTCCATTATTTCAATGGGCACTCAGGACCTCAGCATATGTCCATAGGGTCATATATGTGCCCTGTTGCTGAATGTATGTTGCGTATCATAAGGCACTGAAAAGAGGTAGAAAATAATTGTGTCAATCTGGAAAATTTTGAGAAAATACCTTTTCCAAATAAATGTTTTGCCTTAAACTCTCTATTTCCTAAAATATTGTTCCTAAATTGTGTTTTCCCGTGTAATGTTGTGAGAAGTCATATTTGACATGTTTGGTACTGTATGTTGTAAAGGAATCTAAGAAGAATTTAAAAGAGGATATTTAAGATTGTGGATACTTAAAAATGCAATAAACATCTCAGTATTTGAAGACTAGTCTTAAAGGTCTTAAATGATGACAGAACATAGTGAAAGTGTAAACATTAAGAGATGCCAAATTATAGGTAGATTGTTTTGACGCAGAGCTTAATTACCTGGTGTGTCAGTTAGAAAGTCCTCCAAAGAGTAATTTCTTAACCATAATTAAAGAGAGGTGAGATATTTTTTTTGTCTAAGAAAGATAGAAAATAAAGAAATTGAGGGAAGTAGGAATGAATAAAGAAAACCCTAAACTGACTCGAGCAGTCAGTGGGCATCTGTAATGTTAAAAAAATAATAAAAACCATGCCACCATGTCTATTCCAACCCTGTAGGATACAGTAGAACTGCCCCATAAGGTTTCCAAGACTATAAATATTTAAGGTCGCAGACTGCCACATCTTTGGGTTCAAACCACCAATCTGGGTAACAGCTGAATACTTAGCCACTGCGCCACCAGGGCTCCTGCAGCTGTAATAGAGAATACAACTGTGCAAGCAAGTATTAGGTGCTCAGCAGAAATGCTTTTTATCCCTATTTATCTGAGCTCTTTGTGGTTATGTAAGACATTAAAAAGCTTAATAACTTTTTAATACTTTTAGATTTTTAAATTAAATTTATCAAGTGTAAACTATAGATTTAGAAAAGGATTATGAAAGTAATCCCAGATTGCGTGAAAAGTTTGAAACAGCAGCCATTGAGTAAGGGGACTATCTTGCCGATCCTTTTCTTTTCCCTGACAGCTGATTTATATTTGGAGAAGTTTTAGGGAAATGGAATATTAAGTCAGAGGGTCAAAACCACATTTTTATAAAAGAGTATATTAGTTTCCAAACAATGAATTTTTCACATTAAACTACTACTGTTAGTGCTTGTTAAAATGTGTTTTACTTTTTATAAGTTAAAAGTGTGCTATTGGCCGTTTTACCCTAACAAATCTGACCTTTCATCACTGCAGCATCTCACTCAGTTCCTCAGATGATCATGAAGGCTGCAGGGGCTGAAAGAAGTAGGCAGAACGCGGTCTGGGGCAGAGATAGCCTGCAAGCATGGCCGCAGCCAACAGAGACTGGCAGGGAAAGGATACACAGGCCCTTTGATTTCACCTTTACTCAGCAAATCTTTTGTGGATTTTATTTTATTTGTGCCTTAATATTTTTTCCATGAATTGCAAATTGTTCTTTATGATGATTCTTTGTTTGGATTTGTGTTACCAGTACAGTTTCAAATATAGTTAAAGACAACAACAAAGTGACTTTTAAAAGCTGTAGTATCACATTTAAAAAAGAAAGAAAAAGGAAATCTATTTGTTGATATTGAAGTCCTAATAAGCCAAAAATAAGTTATTTATCCTCTTAGAACCTAATCTTTGTTTATATAAAATGTTTTAAAATTTCTGAAGTTAACATTTTTTTCCATGAGATTAGCCCTGCCTTGTTCCTCCTAGTAAAGACACCTAAATAAATTTTCTCTATTTTCTCATGCACTGCAATGAAACTAGCTGTGTAATGTGGGAAGATAACATGAAAAACGTCTCCTGAGTTCAATGAATGCCACAGAGAATCAGATCCCTATTAGGAGAAAGTAAAGAAACTGAAAGATGAACCTACTATAATAAAAACAAGAAAGTTTTATTAAAACTTCTGTTTTTATTCTACAGTCTATTTAACCACTGATGAATAATTACCATTTATTTCTATTGACTATTATTTCCCAGGCTATAAAACAAAATTGGTTACCTATATCTTACATGATTAATATAATGGTATTACTACCGTATAGAAGAATGTTTGGCCAGCTTAATGATATTTAATAGAATACATTATATATACTGTTTGACATTTCATCCTCCTCAATCAACTATTTTTATGAAATTTTTGATAGTTCTGCTTTTGAGCAAATTACAATCACAAGGATGCAATCTAGAAGAAAAACCATTCTAATTCTCAACTTTTTCTCGTCAAGAATTTTTTTGTTCTTTACAAAGTGAATATATATTCTTGGAGTGTTTTTTAGACAATTTTTTTAGTATATATATTTTGTTTTTCTAAATGATCTTCTGTCATTATCAGAGTAAAGAGATACATTTTTTTCCTACTTGTGGTAGAGTATTTTAAAACTGGCATAACCTCTACTACTGATAAGTATGAAGGGATTCATTAGAATATAAATTTTTGCTTACTTTTAATCTATAAAAGGATTCAGTGCATCTTTATAATATTTTCTCACTCTTCAGTTGTCATAAAACTACTCCAGCGGTGTCCAATCAATATAATACTTGTACTTTTGCTAAGTTAAATAATACTTGGGGAAAATAAGTAACTGTTCTTCCCCCAGTTTCATCAAACAGTAACAAATATTTGATATCTCAGCCACTCCTATGTTCCAACTGACTTCTCAGTTTTTAAAATAAACATTATTATTAGAGCTCTAGAAAATTTATTTAGCCTCTGAAGGATTCAGCGTAACAAAAAGTTTAATTAGGATTCAAAAATGTCCACCTCCTACTTATGTTAGCACCATATATCTGATTTTAAAGTATGTTACTATTTACCCACCATGTGAAATACAGCATCTCCTTGGATACCAGTTTTGTGAAAAATTTACAGTAAAGAAAATGTTTATAATAATTAAAGGTAATTTGTATTAAGGCATTAATTGATCTGGGAGGAGACCTTTTTCTTTATTCTGGCTCTGTCATTAATGAGCCATATGATTTAAATAAAATCACTTAATCGTTAGACCTCAAGTTCCTGAACTGTCAGCTAGAAAGGTTAATGCTTACAGGATAGGATCAGTGGAAACAATTAGCAATTTCCACAAGATTCATAGACATAGACATAGATTCAGGATTGAAGAATTGTCATGGTCATCTGCTTTTATTACTTGAGCTAAAAGCTATGATTCAAAATGTGATCATGGTGACAGACCATTCTGTCAATTTATACTGAATGTTCCTTAATATAAATTTTTCATAATGAAGTAGTTTCTGTTAAAACATTGTCCTTTTTGCTTTCTCTACATTTTTGATGTCTACTTTTTTTATGTGGAATTGAATCTATATGCTATTAGATATTTTATATAAATTATTGACTTTACTAGACAGCTTACCAGCAGATAACTTCTCAAAAAATTTTTACTCAGATATTTAAAATATATTTCATTTAGCTGCACCTTATTTTGACTACAGAAAATAATTATTTTTAAAAATTTGCATTGATTACAAAACTTACACTGTTATCTAGAAACTGCATTATACTATTCTGGCAAAAATCTTATCTATTACTTTGTATATTCATGAGCAAATCTGGACTTTAATATTTTTTTCTTTATTATCAATAATTGGTTTTAAGATCTGTGTCTTAAAATTGAAAGGAAGAAAACCACTTGAGAGAATTATAGTCAGAATATTGTCTGTTACTGCTGTCTCAGTTAAGGGTTTATCTAGAGCGTTAGGTATATTATCAGCATTTTGTGGGATTTGTTCCATCCTGGCTGAAATTTAATATATAAGTTTTTACTTAGGTGCAGAACTGTGGAGCACACTGTGAAATACAATTTTAACTGCCCCCAAGTACCTTGTAAAACGTATTTAACTTGTTGTATATTTATTAAAAAGTTGATCTGGAAAGAACTTCTTTCTTGTTCCTGCAAAAGTAGGGTTGTTATATGTGTTCCTAATGTGGAAGGAAAAGATTTGCATTTAAAAGAAACAAAACTGCACTCAAAATTAGATTGTAGAGATAAGGATAGAGTATCTCTACAGTGTTTTTCCTGCCACACCATGCAGTAAAGTCTATTTATATTAAATCCTTACAAATTTAAAATGAAATTTTTCATGTTGGTATTTTCTAGGAATGCTACTATAATGAATAATTAAGCTGTTTTTTGAATCTCTTTTTGTACAGAAGATGCAGCCACTTACCATATTTTTTCACATATAATGTGCCCACAGAAATGCACATAGATATGTAGCGCTCATAGGAAGAAATCATGGTTACATGGTTTGCAAAAAAGGTACCATGCATGCATTATTTGCAATATGCATACAATAATATGGTACAAATTAGTTGGTAGGCTGCCTAATAAAGTTTTATATGTTTTAAATAATATTTATTTTAATAGATTTTTTTATATTCTGCAAAACGCAGTGAAGGAATGACAACTTCAATAGCATTGATTGGGAAATCTTTCTAAAACACAGACAAATGACATTTTTACTCTAATTAGTTTGTCTTCCCTTTTAATCTAATTTTAGCTGTCTTCTTTCTAGTATAAAGAAAACTTTTATAAAACAAATAAGCCCTGGACTATAAATAACAGTATCAAGATAATATATTACCACTCTCTAAAACTTGATGATGCTCATCATCTCTCCAGTAATATCAGATTTTGTCATTGTGTAAAAAGAAATAGAAATATCAAACTGACAGCAATTTTTGAAATTAAAAACATGACTGGCTGCCTTTTGCTAGACTTTTATGAGACCATTTCCTTCTCAGTCTTTATTTTGGATTAACTTCTTTGAGGAATTGTTTGTTAATATCCTTTTTGTCCTTTCTCATTAAAGAACAAACGTGAAGAGTTTGTATTTCTCTTTGACTAATTCAAAGTATTTTTATTTTACATAACTGATTTGTCAGTGAAGTGCATTAGTTTCTGACATTTCATCATGAGGGGAAAAGTAATCAAACCATTCAGTACCAATATGTTCCAAACCAGTCTGGTTCATCTTCAGTTGCCTATAAGAGCAACTGCTGATTCAAACTAGAGGAGCACAGAATAAAAGCAATAGAATGAAAGTAAAAATAATTCAGGTACACAATTAAAATGAAAATGTATGACTTTGTCCTTGCTTTCCTTTCAAAGTCGTTTCATTATCCCTGCCTCAAAGTAGTTGTTCCGTCACCCAAATGTGGAACTCACCTCCAGCAGCCAGTATTTACAGTATTTGTATTTGCCTTTCTTGGTTGAGATATACTGTGGTTTTATGTGCTTTTTTTTTTATTATTTAAAAATATTTTTTTAAAGAAGTGTTATTTTTCAAAAGATCCCTAAATAGTTCTTGTTGTATGGTAAATTAAAAATGCCACTGTGTCAGTTTCACTGTGATGTGCTGTTTTAATGATCACTCAT